CGAGATCCTACTGAGACAGTCTTTAGCCAAATTCTCCAGTCCGGCGCGGGTATTTGATTGTACTAGCAAAAGGCCATCATCCGCATATCCAGTCAAAGTACAGCCACAAGGAAGGGGAATCGCGAGCAAATCATCAAATCCTAAATTCCACAAATACGGGCCAATAACGGAGCCCTGAGGACATCCCTTTGATAACGACTTCGACCGAGAACAATGACCAAGCTTCAGTTTAACGGAACCGTGAAAGAAATAAGTGTATATAAATTTGTATATGTTACTAAAACAGCCACGACCTTTCAGTTTTAAGAGAAACATTGGCCACCATGCGTTATCAAAGGCACCGGAAATGTCCAGAAAAATGCCTACTATATATATATACTTGTGTTCAGACGAATTCACCATGGATCGGACGAAAGGGCCGCGTCGACAGTAGACTTTCCTACAGTGAAACCAAATTGATTGTTGTGGAATTTTGGTCCACCTGGCAGTAAACGAGGAACGATAAGTCGCTCAAGTAGTTTCCCTAAAGATGGTAAAAGCGTGATAGGCCGGTATGACTTAGGGTCATCGGGGGGTTTATTTCCATTTTTAGGGATTATGCGAATGAATCAATTACAACGGTTGAACACAGTTAGGATCGCATCAGCCGCGGATTTACATGCTTCTATTATCATTTTATTTGAGACTTTGTCTTCACCAGATGATTTATTTAAAGGCATAGTTTTAACAATAGTTATGAGCTCATTGACGGACGGTAGATCAGACACAGGTGATTCAGGTGGTATAGCTGTCCACGACCTAATCTGTTATGGTATCTGTTATGATGGTAATCATTGTCTGTCTCGAACACATCGTCAGGGACAAGTTCGTCGAGTAGAACTTCCGTTGTCTCCTCAATACCAGTGGTGTGAACATTGTTGACTTTTATGTTCTGTACGAATGCCAGATCGACGGATCTATTGACTTTGAACTCATGGTATAGAGGCGACCACGGGCCCTCCTTATCTAATTTCTGTACAACCCTCCGTAGCAAATCACCCTTGGCTTTTTCCACCGAAGCCCTATAACGTGACCTGCCAACTCTAAACGCAATCAGTGCTTCATCAAAAACGATACCGGTTACCTGACGTTTCTTTAGTCTATTTAACTGTTTGCGCGCTTTACGAAAGCATTTACGTTGTTCAATTAGATAGTTATTCCACCAGTCGCATCTACGCGTACTAGTCAAGGACCCGCGATAGCTCACACATAGGACCCACTTAGTTTTTAGTCAAATTTCCGTGGTGCTTGGCGACTAGGCTTCACCCAGTTGTACAGTCTCTTCTTTGTGCCTTTAGGCTTAATTCATTCTGTCTCCTGCAGTAATTCACCGAGGGAAGTGGAAACCATAGTTTTTTCTTCTTCTCCTCTTATAATATCTTCTGATTCACTTCGTTGCGGGAACCAAGACAGTTACTCATGTCCCTGGGACGCGCCGGACTTCAGTGTTCTGGTGTCTTCATGGTTGTATCTACTGTAGATCCTGGCTTACAGGAGTTGCAGCGGTTTTGGGAGGTTGTGGCGGGCTTGTCCCATTAAAAAAAAAAAGACCCGAGACCCCTTAACCAGCGAGCAGTCACCCTTGAGACCACTGTGCCAACGAGGCAGTAAGTGAAGAAGAAACTAATGTAAATTTAACTACATACCTCGAAGACATGGGTGTGCGGTTCAGTGGGAGACAGCTCAGCATTATTCGTGTCTTTCGATTGCTCTCGAAATGATGAGGTGGTCGATACCCATTTCTCGGAACGTGATTTCTGTATTAATATCAAAATATTATCATAAAAACACGGAAAATAAAATTAACAACTCGCATAACTTATAGCAATGATATAAAAAATAGTATTGAGTAAAAACAAAAACATTTTATTTTCAATCTGTACCAAGTTACTTGTTACGTTGGTAGATTAATTAATTGTAGACGGATTTATTATACTTAGATTTATTACAATAATGTGCAGGGCGCACGACGTGTACACACACTTAGACTATGACAGGTAGACAGCCGCGTTAATGAATAGTGTTCTACCTTATATAACACATTATAGTGAGGGGGCGACTACTTACTAATTAGTGATGTTCATACATGTAACATTACTTACAATATCAAGTTCAGCCATAGGTTTCATAACAAATGATACCTCAGTTGAAGCCAGGCCCCTACTGTATGCAGACAAGATCATTTCCTCCGCGGTGAAACAGCTATCAGCGTACGCACAACCTAGTTCACCGATGCCATCCCCTTTTGAAAGTATTATATATATAATTATTTCTTTAGAACCTATTTTCTATATGTCTTTCAAAGCTATTAAAAGCTGGCGAGGGCAAGATAAATGGGCCTCTATTAACCTAACACACACGACGAAACACAACGCAAGCGTTGTTTCACATCAGTTTTCTGTGAAGCCGTGGTATCACACTAGTCTAGCCAGCCCATTCGTACCGAAGCATGGCTCTTCCACACTGAATATATAGACACTTAGTAATTCTTCATTTAATAATGAATTTTTACTGTCGGTTTAGTACTAGTTATTTACAGTAATTAGAAGAAATAACATCTATTTTGAATACTTTTCGGTAATTATAATCAACTCACCAATGATGTAATCAGGTTCAATGCCAATAGTTTTCAACACATCAGTGAGTCCGATCTGTACAGCGGCGATACCAATGAAGGAGTTAAGGATGTTGTCGTAGATCTTAAGGTCATTATCAGTGATGATCTTTGTCAGGTTGATGCCTTTAGGTTCAAGAGCTTTGTGGGACCTAAGTACGACATCAACAAGTTTACAAGACAAGTTACTTCAATGTTTTTGTATACAATAAAAATAAAGTAGCGCAAACAGAACGTAACAAAATCTGTAAAACAACTTACTTCTCAATAGCAGTAGCAAAGACGGGGATCTTCATGAGCTGCTTTGCTATACTGGCCCACTGGGAGACCATACCCGAGTACACGAACCACACTGGACGACGCACTCCTGAGAAGTACTGGATCTCACGCGCTAGAGTCATACTCTTTGTGGAAGTTGAGCCTGCAAGATTAGATTTAAGACTCTCGAGAATATTAACGACTTGCCTTAATCTTTTCATAAATTATTTTCCTACATAAAATATCAAATTTTTAATTAATTATGTTCTAAAATAAGTTCGGTGTAGTTATTTTTTTTATTTTAAGTTATTTTTGCAATGATTTTCGAGGATCAATATTCTGTCAATTTTAACAAAATCTTACCCAGGAGAGTATATCCTCTAAAACTATGTCCTTCAATGTCGTCATCATGAATAGCGTGAAGTAATCGAATCACCTCAGCATCCACTGTTCTGGACTCCAAGTCATCCAGAATTCTGGCTACTGCTGACTCCGTACGACCTGACACGCAGGCGAGACGGGGCAAGTCGTCTGATGGTATACCATTATTCACCTGATTGAGAAATTAACTCGTCGAGTACCGGTTTTGTAGACACAATTATAGAACAATAGGTTGCGGTCACCGGTGACCGCTTGGTGTTTGACAGTTTAAATAGAGATAAAAGAGGCCCAATTACAGTCCCTCCCTTCCCTAATCTCTCAAATATCTGAATTCCCAATAATTCTTAAATTCCTAATTCTCAAATGACCGGTAACGCCTTTGGTGTTTTGGTTATCTATGGGCGACGCTGAGCGCTTACTATCAGGTGATCCGTGTGTTCGTTTACCAGCTTATCCCATAAAAATACCTCTACCTATGGGTAAATGAATGATTTATGAACATCTTTAAAAATCTTCAACATAGTGTAAGAACTCTTTGTCGCTTTTCGTATCACGAATCGTCATACCTTTACTTTCGCGAAGTCTTTCAATAAAGCATGAGCGTTGGCTCCTCCAAATCCGAAACTGTTGATTCCAGACATGCCCCTGCCCCAAGGAGTCTTGTCAGTGACTACTGTCAGCCTCTTCTCAGCCAAGGCTGTTACTCCTTCACGAGGGACATTATAATGTATATTCGGAGGAATGTATCCAGTGTTGTAAGCGATGCACATCTAAAAAATATATTGTAAAAGCTTATGAAAACACCAACTGCATGAATTATTTTGTATGTTTTTTTTTTTTCAGTTTCTAATCGTCCTTTATTCACGATATGATTCAATTTATTTGTACATATTACATTGTTTATAACTACATAAATATTTACAACATAACATAACATAACATAACATCACGCCTTTTATCCACGAAGGGGTAGGCAGAGGTGCACACAGAAGTAACACCCACTTTTCATTATTTATGTTATGAGTCCCATGTAATAGGGGGTGAGCCTATTGCCATATACCGGGCACATTTCCAGACTCCGTGCTACTACTACTAAAATCCAGTAATACTTTGCCCGACCCGGGAATCGAACCCGAGACCCCTTGCCCGGCAGTCGCACTTGGGACCACTCGGCCAACGAGGCAGTCTAAATATTTACAACTTAAAATTAACTACAACTATAAAATAAAATGAAAGTAAAAAAAGGAAAAAACAAAAATTATACCCTTTGTACATATTATTTATTCATTTTCGTATTTGTTATTTAAGTTCCTAAATTTTTGTATCAAAAGTATTATAAACAATTATTTAACCCCGAAGGGGTAGGCAAATGTGAACATTACAAGCACTTAACAGCACTTACAATGTAACACCCATTTTTCAAATAGGGGTGAGCCCATTCCTAACAAAATTTTCTAAAAAAATTGTAAGTTCACACCTTAGCAATAGAGCAAAGACCGGAGGCAGCCTCACTATGTCCCAAATTGGACTTAATGGAGCCGATCAGTAGCGGATTTTTGCGCCCGGTGCACAAGATATCATCAATTGCCTGCAACTCCTCAGGATCTCCAACTTTGGTACCTTATATCAAGATAAGAAAGATAATATATCAAAATAAATGTCACGCCTTTTAATGCATTTGAGACTTAGTAGACATACCTGTGCCATGAGCCTCCACGTACTCCAAGATACACGGAGGGATCGAGCACTCCTCGTAAAATTCTTTGAGGAGCAGCCTCTGAATATAACCGGCAGGGTAAGAGATACCCTGCTCCTTGAAACCATCGCAGTTGGTATTTCCATGAACGAACTGAGCGTAAACCCTAGTCAATAATGAGGTAAAAAAACTTAAGATTACTACAGCTTATTTTTTTTAAACAAAATGTGCAAATAATAACTGGGTTTTATTTTAGGGCCAAATTAAATCAGTACTTCAACCTGATCCATATCCCAAGATTTTTTTATTAGAAACCGTCATTTAAAAATTATACTTTACCTTCTGGAATCTTTAGCCTTCTGTAAATAAACAGCGACGATGGCTTCCGACCGAGCATAACCTTTAGCACTATTGTCAAAAGACCTACAAGTACCATCGAACGACAATACGCCCACTCTATAAGAAAATAAAAGTAATATTATTAAATTATTCAACAATAAAAAAGTGTTCATTACTGTGGAATTTTCATTGAGGCTAAAAAATATTAATATTGACTGTGTTAGAAGTTAGTACCCAAATAAATTAAAAAAAAACAATAATTACAACAAAGAAATTTTATTTTATTTATAAAAATAACCAAAACTCAATAAGTCACTAATAAGTAAAGCACAGTACTATTTATTACATAATTCACATTAAAATATTCAAGTACACAATTATTTTATGGGTTACACAAAAGATTAACAAACAAAGAAAATACTTATCTGAATATAATAATATGTAGGTACTCAGACTCAGATCTAACTGACAGGGGGCAGAGTAACGACACTGTTCGCGTCTCAGGAGCAAGTGTCCTGCACCGGCCGCTCCGCCTCTTTTATATCAAGTTGTAAACAACCTCGTCACTCCACCCCACCTCTGACTACCGATTGTGACGTAACACTGACACTTAATTTTTAAAATACAATAGACACAATTTGTACAAATAATTCTCGGATATTTTTAATCACATTTAAAAGTAATTAACCACCATATTTTCATACGTACTTATCACTTATTTTGATTAATAATTTGGGAACATCTCACAACTGCATAAAAAATATAACCCCTCCAGCTAGGTGGAGTGACGACATCCGCGAGGTGGCTTGCAGTGGTTGCATAAGAAGAGCTGGAGACCAAGCTCAGTGGCGTGCCATTGGAGAGGTCTATGTCCTGAAGTGAACGGATACGGGCTGCTGATTAAAAAATATGATAAACAAAAAGAAATGTTTAACCGGATAATTATTATGCCCATTTTTGGGGCTGTAAGAAATTCAAAACCATCTTTGTTTTGTTGCTAAACCTTTTAACAACCCTACATTAATGTCTAAAAACTGAATCTATGTATTTTACTTGGTGCGACACTCAAGTCGACGCATCCAATACAGACATGGTGGGCCTGAAATAAATTGATGTGAGTAATGACTCTCAAGCTCAATTTGATGAATTGACTGAAGAAAGAAAGAGAAATGAAGAAAGAAAGAAAAAGGAAAGTGGAATTATAAGAGGAATGACAAACAAGGGCTCAAAGTTGTTGTAATGCATCAAAATAATTAATACATAATATGCCGCTGCCTTCTATTGATAAGATGTGTAAGCGGGTTAAAAATGTCATAAACAATAATCCTTGTCTATGTTTGTCTATGTTATTTTTTTATAATTTAAAATAAAGTCAGTCGTTACTTGTCACTTTCAAGCGTCGTTTCATTTTAGGTTATGGGCCCAGTAGTCCCAAAGCATTATTAGTTTTAAAAAGTCTGCATGGTTCCAAGTGTAAATTGACGGAATTAGGTATTGAGTTCGAGACGTGTCGTATTGGATTCGTGCATCGTGTACCATGACATCGCACTATCGCACATCGGATAAACTAAGAAGTTTATTTGATGATTCGGGTTTTACGAGAAAAATAAGTTTACTGCGTTAAAGTACGCACCTCGATTCGTCTAGAAAATTGTAACTCAATGGCGTCGTATGTAACTCAGTTGATAGAAACTGGACAGAAATTAAGTGGTACGGGTTTCAAAATTAGTGATGAGTGGATTGGGTGCCTTCTTTTAGCCGGATTGCCTGAAAAATATATGCCTATGATCATGGCGATCGAGCATTCAGGAATAGGTGTCACAACGGACGCCATTAAAACAAAATTATTAGACATGGCGGAAATGGATATCAACGTGTGTCGTGAAACAAGTGCATTCGCAAGTTCACGGAAGTGGCAACCTAAGACCAAAAATAAGTCTATGGGCAGTGCTGACGGCCACTCATCTGTCAAATGTTAAAAGTGTCAACAAACCGGCCATTACCGGAATCAGTGTCCGAACAATATAGTTAATCAGTTTCATGAGAAGAAAACAAACCAACGCATTTAGTGCAGTGTTTCTAAATGGAAATTTTAGTAAGGAGGATTGGTATATTGACTCGGGCGCAAGTACACACTTAACAGTTAACGAAAGTTGGGCCATTAATACCAGATATGGACAGAAAGAGGAAATAATTGTTGCAAACAGCAACAAGTTACAAGTTTTATGTACCGGCGATGTAAATATTATCACGAAAACAGATGAATTTGAGTATGAGGTGCCAATAAAGGGAGTACTCCGTGTTCCGGAACTGACTTCAAACTTATTGTCTATAAGCCAACTGTTGAAAAATGGTAATAAGGTCAGTTTTTCAAAGAATGGTTGCAGTGTTTACAATTCAAGTAATGAATTAGTTGCTGAGGCTAATGTTGTCAATGGAGTTTATAAGTTAAGAGTCCCTGAAAGAGTAGTGGTAGCTTCAGCTGTTTCTGGAAATACTTGGCATCGCAGATTGGGACATGTAAATAGTAATTATTTGAGCAAAATGGTCACTGCAGTTGAAGGCTTGAATTTAGAAGAAAAAGTTGATATATCTAAGGCGACATGCGCGGTCTGTTGCGAAGGTAAGCAGTGCAGATCACCTTTTAATAGTTTTGGCAATAGAAGAAGTGACAAACTTGAATTAATACATACAGATATATGTGAACCCACGGAAGCTACATCCATTGGTGGTTCTAGGTATTTTCTATTGTTCATAGATGACCACTCACGCATGACTTTTGTATATTTCCTAAGAAACAAAAGTGAAGCCCTCGATAAGTTTAAGGAATTCAAAGCTTTAGCAGAGAAACAATTAAACAAAAGGATCAAGTGCCTGCGAAGTGATAATGGCCTTGAGTTTTGTAATAGAGACTTTTGTTTATATTTGCAGAGAGAAGGGATCATTCACCAGAAAAGTAATCCCTATACCCCAGAGCAAAATGGCTTCTGTGAACGTCGAAATCGCTCAATAGTTGAAAAGGCAAGATGCTTGTTATTCGATGCCCAACTGGGTAAGGATTTTTGGACCGAAGCAACCAACACAGCTGTATATCTTCAAAATCGTATTGTAGCGTCAGGTTTAGAAGGAAAAACACCTTATGAAATATGGACAGGAAGCAAACCAAATTTAAGTCATCTTAGAGTATTTGGTAGCAAGGTCATGGTCCATATTGCAAAAGAGAAGAGGCAAAAATGGGATAAGAAATCAGAACAACATATATTGGTGGGATATCCTGATGGAGTAAAAGGTTATAGAGTGTATAACCCTAGAAGTAAAAAGATAACAACCAGCAGAGACGTTATAATCATAGAACCAACGGACCACAGTGAAGTTATGTTGCCATTAGAAAGATCTGGACAAAATACTCAAATTACAGAAGAAAATACTATTATAGAAGATAAAGAAGATACTGATGAAAGTGACACTACATTATTTTCTGATGAAACTTATGTACCTGGGTGTTTCTTCAAAAAACTTTAACTTTTATTTAACAAATCATTATCCTCCCGCGTTGTTAAGCATCGCAGTAACTTATTAGCATCTGTTTTTTATTGCATTGGGTGAGAGCAGTGACATGGCTCAATTTTTTGAAACTAAACTTTGTATTTTAATCAGCAAAATTGATAACTGTGGCTTGAGGATAATGACGCCGTTAATTTTTTGGTTTTTTTTTTGGAGAATCACCCACCTAGTGATAGTGACTTAGATAGCAGTCAAGAAACACCCGTCAAGTTTGTTCCGAAACCTGTGAGAAACAGAAAGCCAGTTGAAAAATTTGGTTTTTCAAGCATGCACACTGGTGAAGAAATGTTTGATGATGCCAATGACCTGACACTGGAAGATGCACTGAAAGGTCCTGAAAGGAGTAATTGGCTTGACGCTATCAGTGAGGAAATACAAAGTTTCAATGATAACGATGCATGGGAGCTTGTAGATGCCCCAGTAAATAGTAATATAGTGAAGTGCAAGTGGGTGTTAAAAAAAAATATGACTGTGACAATAATGTGCGTTTTCGTGCGAGGCTAGTAGCCAGAGGTTTTATGCAGAAAGAAGGTGTAGACTATGTAGAGACTTTTTCACCTGTGGTGCGTCACACTATACTTAGACTCTTATTTGCTTTGGCTTTTCAATTGAATCTAGATATTACACACCTAGATATCACAACTGCTTTTCTGAATGGGGACCTTGAAGAAGTTATTTATATGCAGAAACCAGATTGCTTTACAGATTGTAATAAAGATGGTAAAGTTTTGAGACTTAAAAAGGCAATATATGGCCTAAAACAATCTTCAAGGGCCTGGTACAGAAAAGTTGATGATTGTCTTGTTGCTTTAGATTATAAGAGATCTGAAATTGAGCCTTGTCTATATATTAAAGATAATAATTGTAAAACTATAATAACATTATATGTCGATGACTTTTTTGTATTTTTGAATAATGCAGTAGAAACAGAGCACTTAAAAGGTCTATTAGCTTCACAATTTAAACTTAAAGACTTAGAAGAAGTAAAAAAATGTCTAGGAATGAAAGTAAATATAGATAAAATAAATAAAGTTGTGATGTTAAGTTAGGAAAGCTATGTAAACCAATTGTTAAAGAAATTCAATATGTTAGAATGTAAACCTGCTGATACTCCAATGGAGATTAAGTTAAGTTTAAAGAAAATTGATGATAATAATAACAATGTTAAGTACCCTTACCAAAAACTTATTGGCTCCCTTATGTACTGAGCTGTAATGACACGGCCTGATATAATGTTTTCTGTTGTATATCTAAGTCAGTTTAATAACAATCATGAAAGTAAACATTGGTTGTATGCTAAAAGGGTCTTGAGATATTTAAAGCACACAAAACATTTAGGTTTAGTTTATAAGAAGGATGGTAATTCAAAATTACAAGGTTTTGCTGATGCTGATTGGGGTAATAATGTTGTCGACAGAAAATCATATACAGGGGTGTGGTTTACTCTATCAGCTGGTGCTACCTCATGGGCATCTAAGAAACAAAATACAGTTGCTCTGTCAAGCACCGAAGCAGAGTACATGAGTATCACGGAGGCATGCAAAGAATCAATTTACTTAAGATCCTTGATCTGTGAAATAACAGGAGAATTGTATACTGTAACGATCTTTAATGATAATCAGAGTGCTCTAAAATTGTCGGTTAATAATTTATTTCACAATCGCACAAAGCATATTGATGTGAGACATCATTTTTGTAGAAATTGCATTAAAGATAAGATTGTTAAATTAGAGTTTTTAGAAACGACAAAGATGCCAGCTGACTTGTTTACAAAAAGCTTGCCCAATGTAAAGCATAACTACTTTTTAAAAACACTTGGAATTGAAGGTACTAAGTGATTGTTGTTTATTCTGTATCCTAATGAAACATTTGTTTATTTTGATAAGTGGGGGTGTTGTAATGCATCAAAATAATTAATACATAATATGCCGCTGCCTTCTATTGATAAGATGTGTAAGCGGGTTAAAAATGTCAGGTAAAAAATGTCATAAACAATAATCCTTGTCTATGTTTGTCTATGTTATTTTTTTTATAATTTAAAATAAAGTCAGTCGTTACTTGTCACTTTCAAGCGTCGTTTCATTTTAAAAGTCAAACGCCGGAATACTGTAACGTTACTCAATTTTAAGTCGTGCTTAAATATCGTGCCATCTCTGTCTTTTACAAAGAATAAGTGGTGACAGAACTATACTTAAGCGCGACTTAAAATTGAGTAACGTTTCAGTATTCCGACAAAAGTGTAACAGTTAGTGGTTAGTGGTTTCTTTCAATTAGAGTAAGAAGGCACAGTTGAACATCAAACAAAAAAATAAAGGTGTCGGTTTGTCGGTCAGTATTGCAGTGAAGCTATTTGCTGATTCCAAGGTGTAGATGGCTACCAAATTGTAAAAGCTCACCTGTTGAATTGTAATGACACATAAGGATGAAGACACAAGTTGCTTCCTCCGACGATAGCAGCATCACAGTGACCATCTCGAATAGCTCTGTATGCATGCACCAGAGCGTAAAGGGAACTTGAGCAGGCAGTGTCTATGGTGTATGAGGGACCAGTCACTCCCAACCAGTAGGAGATACGGTTGGCCAACATGGCTCGGGAACATCTAGAATTAGAAAAAAGGATAACTTCATTGGAAATGGGAAACGATTTATCGTAGAAACTTGTTAGACAGGATAATAATAATAATAGAAGCCCGCAGGGCACCTTGAGGCGAGGTGACGGGCATTAGCGATCCCGCGGGCTACCATCATCCCGAGTGCTCCAGGGAGAAGTCACCGTTCCTTCTTCTCCGGCTTGCCTTAATTGGCTGGCTGGAGTGAACGATGACAAGGAACAGGTCTCCCACCTCTGGCTTGCCTTCATTGGCCGTCCAGAGTGGAGTCGCGAGAGCAGTGATCCTGCTCGGAGGGTAAGAAACTATTCGTAAG